TTTTTTTTTTTGGTCATTTTTGTGATTTTATTACTAGTTGTCTCTAATCCTTTCTTTAAACTCTCCTTTATGAAACTTAAATTCATATACAAAAGTAGAGAGAATTTTATAATGAAACGTCAAGTACCCACAGTGGCTGCAACAGTTATCAAACCAAGGACAATCTGTCTCAGCTGATCCCCCCATTACCACCCTCTTACTGATTTGCTAGGGCAAATTTTAGGCAAAAGTATCATTTCACTGCTAATGCTCAAGAATGTGTGACTCAAACATAAGAACTCTTTTTTAAAATAATAAATGAATAACCACAACACTATTATCACATTTTTAAAAATTAACAAAAATTCCTCATTATCATCAAAGATCCAGTCTGTGTTCAAATTTTCCTGATTGTTTCATAAATATATTTTTATAATTGGTTTGTTTGAATTGGATCCAAACAAGATCCACCCATTGGCATTTGCCCTCAGGCTTTCCTGCAGTCTGAATTTTGCTGACTACATTCCCAGATTCCCAGTTCTCCATGTTAAATACAAGTTCTTGTATTTCCTGTAAGTAGATAGATCTGGAAGCATGTTCAGATTCAGGTTTGATTTATTTTGGCAAGCATACTTCATAGTTGATACTATATGCTTCTTATTGCTTTACATCGGGAGGCTCTTAATGTCTGCTTTTCTCTTTATTTATGATCTAGTCCTTTGTGAAAGTATATAATTTGTGCAAGAAAGAAAAGAAAAAAAAAACACCTTAAGTATGTATCTGCTAAATCACATTGCTACAGGTAAATTTCAGCATGAACTTAAAAGTAAAGTTTGCTGCATTTTCTTCTGGGGAACACAATAACAGAGAAGAGCCTTAGGCTGCAGCTTGAAGAATACCTGAGAAACCCACCTAGACCAGATTAATGTTGCTAGCTGTGACTTAATCTCTACCTTTGGTGGCAATATCCTTATCTAGCCCCCCTAAAGCAAAGAACAAAATGAAAAGGGCTGCAACAGCAGCATGGTACATCGAGAGCAGACAGATGGAGCTTTTGGATACTGAGGAGCAGATCTAGAGTGGGAAATGGATGGGAGCCAGAGCTGAAGATCATCCCTCCCTCATTGCCTGTCCTACTACACATCTGGTCAGTTACCAAGTCCTATGGATCTACCTTCTTAAAGGCTCCAGAAGAGGGGTGCTTAACTTTTTTTATGTGTCATGCACCCCTTTGGCAGACTGCTGAAATTGATGGGGCTTTCTCAGAAGAATGTTTTAAATACACAAAATAAAACATTTATACTGAAATACCATTATCAAAATATTAAATTACAAGAGATAGAGTGGCCCTAGTAATTAATGTGACTTCAAAATAGTGATAAAAATAAGTGATATTTTGAGATTTCTCTAACAATTCTAATGTGATATGAAAATATTTGTGATTTTATGGACTGGCCGGTTAGTTCATATATTAAAGCACAGCCTTGTAATACTGAAAGTCCAGGGTTCCGATCACTGCACCAGCCAGCCATGAAAAAAAAGAAAAAGAAAAAATACATATATTTGTGATTTTTGTTGATGATAAAAGTCAGTTTCTGTTCATTTTATTGTGGTGTTTTGCCTACAAACTACAAAGGTAGTTAAAAAAAAAAAAACACTAAATTTTAGTTTAAAGGTTACTGAGAATTTATCCGTATTTTTTTTTCCCAATTTTATTTCATGGATCCCTTGACTTCCTACACGGCCACTGTCTGAGTTCAGGTTCATGTTGGTTTTTTACCTGTAACTGTTACCACGGCCTCCCCTCCCTCCCTCCCTCCTCCAGACTAGTCTTGCAGTTGGTCAGTAAACCTGATCTAGTCATTCCACAGGTTGGAATCCTTCAGTGCACCCGTATGGTTTTGAAGACCAGATCTAAGTACCTTAACTGGGTCTCAAAACTCCCCAAGCCTCGACCAATACATAATCTTGACTTTAAACCACTAACCCTTCCTAGAAACAAACCCA